CCCCCCNCCCCCCCCACACCAGAACTGGGCTGCACCCCGACACACCTCGCCCTCGCGTGGGTCGCCAGGCACCCGACCACGTCCACCGTCATCCTCGGCGCGTCGCGCCCCGAGCAGGTCCTCGACAACCTCCGCGCGATCGACGTCGTCCCGCGGATCACGCCGGAGGTGGAGGCGGAGATTGAGGGGATATTGGGGAATCGGCCGGAGGGATATGTGAGTGTTTTGGGTTTGGCGTTTGGGTTGCGATGGGGATGGGATGGGGTGTGGGTTTGGGGGTGTGGGGGTGGGGGTGGGGGTTGGGGTTGGGGTTTTGTGGGATGGGGTTTTGTGGGTGTGGTGTGGGTGTGGGTTTGGGGTTTTCGGTGTGGGTTTTGGGTTTTTGGGCTATGGTGGAGCGCGGCGCGGCACGGGCGGGGGGTGTCAGCAGGAGCGGGCTTTCGCTGCCTTTGTGTGGCGCCGTCCGGTGTGAGCGGTGCGCGTTTGCACGGACGCGGAATCCGTTTGCTGGCTTTCTTCCTTCCTTCCCCCTTCCTTCCCCCTCCTTTCCACTGCTGTGCTTTCTTGTTCCTGGATGTGTGCTGACCGATGGTCCTTGGATGCGCAGGCGACGTACGGCCGCCCGCCGCTCGACCCCCACGGGCGCGACCCGATCTACTAGGCGCGCCACCGCGCCTCCGTCACGTTGGCGGGCTCGAGATAGGGAGAAGGGAGAAGAGGGATGGGCTGGGTGCGCGGAGGGACAAGCGGAACGCAGGGCAAGAAGGAAGTAAAAGTGAATTGTGTGTATGTATCGTTAGGCTCGTATGGCATTCGATGTGCCGTGGTTAGGGTTCGCGTTCCCGCCGGATCGGATGCCCAGCTAGTTATGTGAAGAAGGCGGTACGGACGTCAAATTTGCACCCCCTGCTATGATCCAGCGCTGCGGTAGTCCACCACAGGCGTGTACTTACCTGATCTAGGGAAGACAGCGAGCTGAGAGCCGTCGTATTATTATCCTCCCCTTCCTCCCTCGCACGTCCCTTCGTCCACCCAACTGACCCAAATATCCCAACTTTCTCCCAGCTGACCCGGCTAGCACAGGTGACTCGCACAATCCGACGAGAACCGGTACATTCTCGCGGGATCACGGTCAGCTGATGGGACGCTCGAGTTATATTTACGCCACCTTCGGCGTTGTGGAGCGCGACTGGTATGGCAGCGTTGCAAATCACGTCCGACATATCCCCGCGCTGCTCACCTTCCGTCAGGCCTGCCCGGGAGTGGGATACATAAAATCATGCCTATCCTCCCTTGACGCCTAAGCGCCCGCCATACCCACAATGCAGCGCCCCATCCTCGCGCTGCTCGCGCTCGCGCTCGCGCTTGCGCTCACCGCGTGCGCAGAGACCGCCGCGCAGGCGTACACGCCCACGACCGGCGCGTGCCCCGCGGGCTTTGCGCTCGTGCGCCCCGCGGGCGACCCCGCGGCGGGCCAGACGCTCTCGCCCGGCGAGCAGGCGTACATCGCGGCGAAGCGCGCGGACGTCCTCCCGGGCGCGTTCAGGCGCTACCTCGACACGGTCGTGCGCACCGCGCAGGTGCCGCTGCCCGCGTACATGTACAATATCCTCGGGAGCGAGGACCCCGCGCAGATGCCGACGGTGGGGATTGCGAGCAGTGGCGGAGCGTACCGCGCGGCGCTGTTTGGTGCTGGGGTGCTGAATGCGCTGGATGCGCGGAATGGGAGCAGTGTTGCGAGGGGCACGGGCGGGCTGTTGCAGGCGACGAGTTATCTCGCGGGCTTGAGCGGCGGGAGTTGGCTGGTGTATTCGTTGGCGCAGGCGAATTTCCCGACGGCGCAGGAGCTTGTGCTCGGCCCTGCAGACCCGGTGGAGGGTGGGTATGGCGGCTGGGTGACAGAGTGGGGGACGTTGACGCTGTACCCCGACAGTGCGGACGAAGCGATGAACGAAGAGTATATGAACCAGACTGTGAGGGATATCATGGGCAAGTACGAGGCGGGGTGGCCTGTGAGCATCGTGGATCTGCTCAGCAGGAGTATGGGGCGGCATTTCTTGAATGGAACGACTGGCGCGAATTTCTTTGACAACTCCACCGTTCACGGTGCGGGAGTGTTGTTCTCGGACTTGACGAATGTGTGAGTGACATCGTAAATTAACTTTCAAAATTAACTTTCAGCAGAGCCAGTACTTACGTCTGCTTTCAGTCCCACTTTCGCCTCGCGCGAGCAGCCATTCCCCATCGTAGTTGCAGATGGATGGTCAAAGTACCCCTACGGACCCGACGGACCCGAGGCACTTGGAAGCAACACCCCTCCCTCCAATGTCATCTATGAATTCAACGCTTGTAAGTGTCCGCGACGCAATAATCGGTTTCTGTAACTCACCGCATATGTACCTCAGACGAGATGGGCTCCTACGACCCGCAGCTCGCGGCGTTTGCCCCCATGCAATACCTCGGCACCACGAATGAGACCGTCTGTGTGACAGGATTCGAGCAAGCCAGCTTCATTATCGGCGGCTCGTCCGACTACTACTCCCAATCCAACTCCTCCGTAAGCCATGTCCCTCGCGCTTCACGTTCGCGTCATCTCACCACTGCGCACCACGGATACAACAGATGGCAGCCATCATGGCCACCGCGGGCCCCTGGATCACTCTTGTGAATGAATCATTCACACAGCCGGGCGTGCAGCTCGACGTTGGGCTCGTCCCAAACCCGTTCCAAGGGCAAGGAAATGGGTCTTTCACGGAAGTGAATGAGACGTACTTGAATATTGTAGACGGCGGGAATGATGGACAGGCGATTCCGATCCAGCCGCTGCTGGTCAAGGCAAGGGCAGTGGATGCTTTGATTGCTATCGACGTGGTAAGTAGTGTGACGATGGGAGTAAAATGCGCAGAAAGTCTGATGAAAACGTGTAGAACGCTGAGGTCAACAACTATGCGACCGGCGGTGACTTTATTGTAAGTCCATTCACGTATCTTGTCTGGGCACTCACCTGATTAGTCTCTCGCGCTCCTCTAGTCTTCAGCCACCCGCGCTGCGCTCTTCCCCACCGCCTACTCCTTCCCCCCAATCCCTCTCAACACCTCCACCTTCATCGCCGAGAACCTCACCCTCCACCCGACCTTCTTCGGCTGCGAAACGCCCGAAACGCCGCTGATCATCTATATTGCAAACGGCGGCCCACCGAAGGGGCAAATGGCTGTGACGAACACGTCCGATGATACGTGGACAGAACCGCTTATCCAGGCGTTCCTCACGCAGACGTTCGATATGGCGACGCAGGGGTACCCCGCGAGCGAGGCGGAGAGCACGGACCCAGAGTGGGCCGCGTGTTTGGCGTGTGCGGTTGTTGATCGCGAGAGGGAGAGGCAGGAGATTGCGAGGGCAGGTGTTTGCGAGAGTTGTATGGCGAGGTATTGTTGGAGCTGAACATGAGTTCAAGCTCGGGCCGCAATGGATAGTAGATGTCCGGGCTCGCTGGCTTTATTACGGCAATAACATGGACTTCTGATAATGACACGAACCAAGAGAAATATAAGGGGAAACATAGGCGTGTGTGGGAAGTCTCAAACACGTACAAGCATCCATGAGCACTGAAAGGATTCACGAGAAGGATTCTTGTCTGTGTGGTACCAGGTCTGCGCAACTTCTACGGAGCAGTGAAAGTTATGTCCAGCACCGAGTCTGCATCACCATGATCTTGCTCTTCACGTCGGACATCCCTTGACCCCCCAACGGACCAAACTTGGGAAATCTTTCTGTTCAGGTAGACTTGGGTCGGAACCCTCGGTCCAGCGCGAGGCGAAGTATATCCCACTATTGCGTTCCTACGCCCTACACCTGAGAGAGTCTATCCGCCTTCTAATGAAAGGCTCCCTCGGACTCTGATCATGATGAGCTCAAAAGCAATACTCTACGAAGGTATCGCATTTAAGGTGAGTATGGAGGCATGTGAGCAAAGTAGATGCCTTACGATAATTTGAACAATCTAGGTAGCGGCGATGATCAGCTCCAGGGCAAAGAGACTATGGTTGCAACGTACACAGTCTGACGTACACAGTCTGACACCGGGTAGAGCGCGTTACTCCCAGTCGGCCTTACCTCCCAAAAACAGACGATGCAGAGATGGGCCAAACCGTAGAGAATACATTCTATGAAGAGGGCGACAATCTGCACTGGTGCGATAGTGAAACCTCTCATGTCAACACACGACCTAGGCAAGGAGAAGGGTAGAGTCGTATTCTCGCTTGGAGTCGATATTTAACTGGTCCAGGCGTCATGAACATCATGGATACGTGGAGCGGAGGGTGCCGTCTTCTTCCCAAGATGAGTGCAGAAACTTAGTTTCGTGAATCAGGTCGACCCCAGCAGGGTTCGATGCAAGTTTCTATCATGTAGCCTTCGACTTGAATAGTGACCATCCCGAGAACAACCACTGGCAACCACCTCCAACGAATTGGCCAATGCCTAGGAATTCAATCTCAAGAAATCGGTGAGCGCGAGGCAACGCAGGATCAGACCGGTGTTATCGCAAACCTCCACGAAACGTTGTCGGATCTTCCTCGGAAATGGTGCTCCTTATGCTCTAACGAGCCTCACGCCATCGATGATATCTCCCATGCGCTGGTGCAAATATGCAAACAAGTAACAGGGCGTAAATCGGGATATTGATCACTCAAAACGAATCCTCTCACCTTCACGAACTTCCCCGCAGACGTCGTCGACATCCAGGTTCGCAACCAACGTACGTCGGATCCCGCTCCACAGATAACAATAGTGGCCTCACACAGATGCGGAACAAGTGCAATCCGCGCGAAGAAGACCCACCGTTCCTCGTGTATGATCGTAAATGATACATTTGCGATTCATATATCAGAAGAATGCCCAGAAATGAGTATAAACCTAACATCGCCCATTAAGGTATCGGACGAAACGAGACCACGCAATCCACAATCCACAGCATTATCCATGCTCAACGAATCATTGGTATACCCGCACAGAAGCGATGTCCCAGTACGCGTTGCTGAACGCCGACGGGTTCTCGTTGACGTACGCTAAATTATGAATAGGAATCAATGGGCGTCCAAGAAGGCCGGATGAGAGTGGAAGCTACTCACTCACGCAATCTCCTGGACACCCGTCCGAGCTATAGACGGCGCCGGCCCAGTCTCCACCTGAGCACAGTCAGTATACGTGATAATGCGGAGAAAGTAGGTCACTGACAGAGCGTCAAGTCGAAGATGATGTTGTTCTCGCCGAAGTGTGAGGCGAGGTCGCAGTCCGTGTTCGGGAAGTATGCTGTTGCCGTTCCCTGCATTTTAGATATCACCCTATTAGTGTTCTAAACATGAGGATGTTGGGGCTCGTCGAGACGTACCCAGTTATCCGTGTCAATCTGAGCTGGCCCGGAGTAGACGTCGAACGGCACAGTCCCGTCATTGCGCGCCCAGAACCAGACCTTGATGAAGTCTGTCGTACGTTCCATGGCATACCTACGGGGCCAGAGGAGTCAGTGTTCGAGTGATGGAGAATTGCAAGAATGGAGGCGCACCATCCGCCGCCGTTGTCGTTGAACTCGGGCCCGTAACTATTCGTAGTCGGAGCTTGGACCCCGCACCCAGCGTTATCGTTGTCTCCGCCATAGCAGTCGTTACCAGTGGCCGTGCTAACAGCAACTCCGTCGACGCTTTACAAGGATCAGAGAAGGACAAGAACATACCCAGTTTGCGTCCTGCTAGCAGGCATCGTACAGTTCGCGCTCGTATGGAGCGTACTCGCATTCGGCGACTCGTCGTTCACACCTTCAAGGATATCGACCTCGCCGGAGTTTGGCCAATCCGACTCGAGGGTCTCCCATATCGCCGGCCATGTCGCGCATCCCTGGGGCATGTGTCGAACATTGAATCTAGCATACTACATGAGGGTGTGGGCAGCTGGCAGAACTGGTAGGAACTCACACTGCTACGTGGGTGGTGTACGCCTTGTCGCTCTTGATTCTCACGCTGTTCCGACCCGGATCGCTGGCGCTGAGCACGGTGGTATCATCGCATCGCATAATCAGGGTATCGTCGGACACATATGTGAGGTTTTGAGCCAGAGCCGTCGCTTGATCGACGTAGGTCCTGAATGGGAGTCAGAACACTCTGAGATATCACGGCACACGCACGAATAAGCTTACACTCGACCATTGGTGGGATCGGCGATGTTCTCGAAAGTCCAGGTGTTGAGGAACGCCGGTCCTACCCAGTTATCGCTGAGTGAGTAGGACGCAGCGTAAGCGGAGGTGAGCCAGGAAGTCGAGAACAGGGCCGCGGCAGCGCGCATGATTTACAATAGATATGAAGGGACTCGATTCGGGGAAGAGAAGGAGAAGTATCCGACGACGAAAGCAATCACTCACATCCCGTCTTATACTGTACCTCCCATGAGCTCCCCGTTGGCATGCCTCCGGGCGCGAGCATAAGCCGACGCCCTTCAGGTGGCTCGGGACGAGAATAAGCACATATGGAGGCAAATGGGGTGGAGTGCCGCACGGTTACTAGCCATGGGACGGGCGGATGATCTTCGACAGGGGTGGCGTCAGATGGAGGATCCATAAATAAGAAGATCAAATAGACACCATGAGGTTGCAGAGCTTAAGAAACCTGAAAGTGTTCTTATTACGCACTGCATCCACCGACCAATAGCGGATGAAGAGAAACAGGAAAAGAACCCGTCGGAGCAATCGCGCAGGTCCCTATGATGGGTCAGATAAGTGCAGCAACCCACGGTTAGGATTATAAAAAGCAAAGGAACAGGGAAGTCCATACTCCCCCTGGTCATGCAGTCCCGGTATCTGTAAGATCCGGCACGCTTGAGGAGAGCTCAGACTTCGTATTAACCTTCTTGAAGTTCTTCGGAGTTCGGAGGCGTCGCGGTAACGTGACATGCGTTTTCATGCGAGTCGTTAAACTCGTTGGCGCGACGCGCTCCTAGGGCGGCTCCTTTGCGTCCATCGGAGGATGGTGGCTGACGCTCACAACGACCATCAGAACAGTGTATAGCGCAGATTGCACATAGAAGGATGCGATCCGAGACTGTAAGACGTTTGCACCCTGGACTAGTGGAAGTGGCCCCCAAATGCCAATGCTGGTCAGTGGTCTTCCCAGGCGCTAATCGCGGTAACGTGACTGAGGGCTTCGGCGCGACTCGACGCTCATTCGACGACGCGTCGTGTTGGTTCGAGAAATTGAAGCTCTCAACGGGTCTGGTCGACGTTCTGTAGCGCGGTGTTTATTTCAGCCTACCAAGGAATCGAGCTGTCTATCGAGTATGAATTTTTCTCCACCGAAAATGCCGAGTCCCAAGGTACGGGTCGCGTGCGAGCAACTGACTCGACGGCATCCTGAGGCTTGGTGCCATGATCTGCTAAGATAGCGCTACGATATCTGAGATTAGCCCTGCGATATCTCTTGCCTGTCGACTAGAACTCACACTTTCCAGCTAATCACTTACGCTCTGTGCTTCTAGAAGCCGCTCCTCGCCCCAATCATTGCTTACTCAGGATCACCTTCCCCTTATAACAATCGTCGTCAACTCACGCCAGAACGGGCACAAATTTCTCTCTGACCCAGCTCAAGGCCCTCGCTGCTTTTCTATTTACCTGCGTTGTCATCATGTCGGTGCATATAACCAAGGTGGGCAAAGGTATGTGCCGCCGTCAAACTCGTCAATACGTACATGAATCTCCTACGTCAACTCCGGCACTGAATTATGCTGATATAGACGTACGGGAGTATCGAAACGGCACGAAGACGCCCTTATCAAATGGTCATCTCAACGACCGTAAGCAGGAACTAATATTGGATTGATCCGATACTGATGTCTGCTTTGGAAAAACCCAAACGTCCATTCACGATCAGGTACTCCCAACCGCAACTTGCCAGCGTCGACCTACCCCTCTAAGGAATCTGTTCCGGTGTCCGTGGAGATGTCCCATTCGACCAGCAAGTGTACAGATTACGGGGACTATATGGAACGCTTGAAGCTCTCGAAATCAGACCGGTATAAATTGTTTGTGAGTTCCTGCTTACCACAGCTTTGGCACCTCGTGCCAGTGGTCCTACTAATATCCACTGATTTGTTAACTGGTAGTGCGATGTGCGGGAGCTGGCTAGCGAACATCTAGACATGGACAAACTTGTCACAGAGCAGGAACCAGGCATTTGGGAGAACTTCATATCTTTCGCACGTTTCGAACATCCCATCGTGCACAACCTATATAGTAACTAATCCACTTTCGTTATCTAGGCGAAAGAGACGTTCCCCATATTCGCGACTCCTCGGCGCACGGGGATATTAAAGAAATACTTGTCCAAGTACCTACATCGCCGAAAGTCTCGCGCGCGAGAGAGAGTGGTACAGTCTGACGAGTCAAGAAAACATCGGCTGCAAGGCGCACGCCGTACGGCCGTTGATAAGGAGAGCACGGGCTGCCAGGCCTCAAAGGAACCTGCGGAGGAAAGGAAGGCGGAAAACGACGCAGAAGAGGGTGACTACATGTCCTTGCTAAGCAAGGTGCGCCCTATAGATGTGGTCAGATTTGGACAAGGGGCTGTCCTGTTGAGGCTATTTTGATGCGACTGACACTTCTTTCTGTTAGCGAAATGGAAGTCCTCTCGTATGGCTATCCCCGTCGCCATCCCCGTCGCCGCCGCCAAAGACTGTACCTCCGAGAGTCAACCGCGTGAGTATTCCTCCTTCATACTCTCCGCCAGACCTCTGATGGTGCATACCTATGGCCTTATGACGCTTCTCCAGGCGTACGTCGAAATCATACAGAACCGCCCCAAGGCGAAACCCCGCTTTTCCGGTCCCGCAATCCCGTCCAACGCATCCCCCGGCGACGATGTTTCAGAATGTAGCACCCCTCGACCGTGCGCCAATGATGATCATCCGGTCCAGGCCTTCCTCCGCTCACTCACTCCCAGCTTGGAGTGCTTGTGGCCAGCCCTCGACACTCTGGGGGTAAAGGATATGGCCTGGGTGAATGCCATTCGCCGTTGGCCCCCCCATTATCGAGATCTAATGGAGGCGAAGCTCTTGGAGGACAGAGACGTCACCTCCCTTGATTGCCGTGGCTTGATGACCGCGATGTCATTGCCAGCTAAGGCTGATATGGCCATCCCATCCTCGAACTGCACTACCACTGGGCAGGATCGCGTAAGCGAGTTCCTATGCTCGCTTAGTCCCAGCCTCAGGCATCTGTATTCACCACTCAGCAAAATAGGAATGAGGGAGTCGTGGCTGGACGCTGTGATCAGTGGCCGGGAGCCTGACAAATTTCATGAGTTGTTGGAGTCGAACCTAGTTTGGACTAGGAAGGCGACTTGGTGTGAATACGTAGCCATCCTGGTCGGGTTAGAGAGTAGGGCTAAAGAAAGAGCTCAGAATGGTGTATGAGCTTCTATTACTCGCTGTACGGTTGCTGTAACATGAAAAAATCTCTGTAGGTCAATAGCAAATATGTGGTCAACACTGTTCTCCCGCTGTCTAGCCGTCTAGCTCGCCCTCAGTGCTTCCGCCGCACCTTTAGCAAGATACCCGAAGCGCATCTCATACCTCGTGATTGTTCGAAGACACCTCCCGCTTTGTCTTATAACATTAGGCTGCAGCGCTACAATGCCACGACGCCGTAATAGCCAGAACCGGTATCGTTGCCACCATCAACCTTCCAGTTCGGAATTCTATGCCGCCGTGAGGAACGAGCAGAGGCATAGAATATAGACTTTGTATGAATGTGAGCGTTACGCAGGTCACAGTGACAGCTCCTGCTTTCGACGGCGACGACGCGCTCACTCAAGCGCGCTATATGGGCTCCACATAGGCTACCTTTTGCTTTTCCCTCCCTGCCCACCCTTATGTTTGATAAGCTGCAGATTGTACAATGCCTGGTAGCTTTCCTCTCTCCACACTGTTTTTCCCACTGGGTTTTCAGGTGGCATGAGAGGTTTTGAGGCACCCATGGCTTTCATTGCACCCTTGTGTTTTCTCATGACATGTATTTATTACTGGGTCGTGGATGTGGTTTTCTAGGCGGGAGT